TTACTAATATTTATCTATATCTTGAGCCACAGTTGACATCTAATGTACAGTTTGTTGCTTTTCAAAGCTAAATGGAATTGCCAAAAAAGAATGAAGCTCTGCCCAACATGATGTGAAAGTAAAATGATCAAGTAGCAACAAAAATCTATAAATAACCTCAGCGCTCAGCCCCCATTTTCTATCGAGGACTTTTATTTTGAAACACGCAGATCCTCCTCAGACCAAATGCGCCGTTGAGCGGGCGGGCCTATTTGGGGCTTTCTAAAGTTAGAATTAAAACCGTTGGGACTAAGCAAAAACATGGGCCTTTAGCTACACACAGTCTTGAGTATTAGATGGTGACCTGTGCGCTTCACTAAGCAGGTTTTGTGTCGTCGCAGAGCGCAGCTCGTCGTTTTCGCGGCCGTTGCGGAGGGGATTGTTATGACATTATTCTCTTTGTCTCGCGCTGCACAAACATAAGACCATCTTTCTCGCTGAAAGAGCCTTTTTCAGCCATCGCTGCTAATCTAGGTATTGTTAACGACCTTATTCTCACCGGTCCGATCGAGGGATTGAATCATGTCGTTGCACGGAAAACGAAAAGAGATCTACAAGTACGAGGCGCCATGGACCGTCTATGCCATGAACTGGAGCGTGAGACCCGACAAGCGCTTTCGCCTGGCGCTCGGCAGCTTCGTCGAGGAGTATAACAACAAGGTAAACCGCTGTGTGACACCAAGACATCTCTAATCGCTGTGTGTTATGTCTCTACTTTGTTTTGTGTTGCTGTCATATAGAGAAGTGTGCCTGAAATGTATAGTAACATGTTAGATGCAGATGAACGGGTTTTAATGGTGTGCAGTAATAGTGTTGGTCATAAATGTCACCCATAGAGTTTGAGAACACTCTCAGATAAATAGCGTGTTGCTTGATGACTTATTTGTATCTTGCTTGTGGATAAAAGTTTGACAGCTGTCAGAAACCCATCATCTTTATGGATGCAGTAGATGGACATGGTTGCATCAGCTGCTTGTTTTGTGATGTTCAGGTCCAGCTGGTGGGTCTCGAGGAGGAGAGCTCCGAGTTTGTGTGCAGGAACACCTTCGATCATCCGTACCCAACCACCAAGATCATGTGGATCCCCGACACCAAGGGCGTCTATCCAGACCTGCTGGCCACCAGCGGAGACTATCTGCGCATTTGGAGGGTATGTAGACTTTCTGCTACACATTCATGCTTGACTGCACTGCGCAAGCCAACATGAGATGAACATTGAACTACGGTATTTTAGGGCTGGACAATAATTCAGTATCAATATGTATCGCGATATAATTTTTTTCCTTGGTGAGCAGAAGAGAATTCTTTAAAAAACATAAAAAAAACTTTTGACTGGTATGTTAGCCTATAGTTTGAAGTAAAAAAAAATTAATAAGGAGAGTCTGAGATTTATTTGACAGTGATTTCACATTTCTTGTTTGTATGAAGACTAAATACAAATAAAAGGTGAACATTTATATATTTCCTAAAATATTATATAGTTTTATAGGAGTAGGTTTCATAGAGTTGGCAAATTAATTTTTCATAAGTTTGTAGGTACAGACATCTGTTGTGGCCGTTCTTGGCCGTTTTTATGAGGCTTTTTTAATAGTGTTCATTAGATTAGACTGTGCAGAAATTGAAATTTACAAGTTAATACACACTATACTCATAGTCACCCATGCTGATGTTGTTAACATTAACAATTTGAGAATAAAGTATAACAATAATAATAATTTGAACGGTTTGATGTGATATGAGCTAACCGATCTTTAGATTTAATCACCATTGGTAGCGAGATTTATGGTAATGCTTTTTTCCTCAGTTGGTCAGAACAAACGTGGCAGACTTGTTGCTTGCTTGTTCAGATGGCAATATCCGGTGAAAATTCTTATTTGGGTCATATTCCAAGACGTAGGCTAGAATCTGTGATTGCGAAGTACAGTAAATATCCACACCGGTGCAGTGACTGACAGCCACACATACTCTTCAAAACATTAGATTCATCCGCGCCGTGCCGACTCACAACCCACACAAGCTAGATAATGCCGCACACAGCTGCAATTCCAGGTTTTCAAATAGAGATGGCGACAAAGAGGCAAAACTTACGGACTGCAGCTTTATTTAAATAATTTAAAAAATTAAGTTTTATGTTTTATTTATATAGCACATTTAAAAACAGCAAGCATGACTAACCAAAGTGCTGAACAAACAAAAACATAGAACACAGGGCAACCCACAGATTCCTACCATAAACTCACAAAGAATTGAAAGCCAAAGAGAAGAAATATGTTTTAAGAGATGATTTAAGAGAGAAAAACAGTTAAAGACTGTGCCGATCTGATATAGTCTGGAAGGCTGCTCCACAGCCTAGGGCCAGCAACTGCAAAGGCTCTATTCCCTCTATGCTTTAACCATGATCTGGGGACAGAGAGAAGTCTTTGGTCACCCGACCTCAGATTTCGTTTAGGATTGTATGGATAAAGTTGATCAAATCGATAGCTCGGAGCCAGATTATTTATAGATTTAAAAACATAAAGAAGAATTTTAAACTAAATTCTAAGATGCACAGGTAACCAATACAACGATTTCAAAATTTAAAAAAAAAGAGTAACGTGATCAAATTTATGTTGTCCTTTGAGGAATTTAGCAGCGGCATTTTGTAATAATTGGAGACGAGCGATGGATGATGTAGAGATTCCGAGGTAAAGAGAGTTGCAGTAGTCCAAGCGAGATGTAATGAGCACATGGATAGCAATCTCTAAAGTTTTCTCAGAGAGAAAAGATTTAATTTTGGAGAGAATACGTAGTTGAAAAAAACCAGAACTAATAACAACATTTATTTGTTTATCAAATTTGAGACTCGGCTCCCTGAATACACCTAAGTTCTTGATACAGGAAGAAGTAAAGGGAGCAAGGTAGTCCAGATTGATACTTCTGCTCCCTGAGTTTTCACTGGGGCCAAAGACTATAACCTCGGTTTTTGATTCATTCGAAAATAAAAAATTTTGAGAGAACCACGTTTTCACTTCATCAAGGTACGCAAAAAGAGAATCCAGAGCAACATGTTTATTTCGTTTTAGAGGTAAATAAATTTGGGTATCATCTGCATAGCAGTGAAATGATACACCATGCTTTCTGAAAATAGAGCCTAAAGGAAGTAAATACAAAGAAAAAATAATGGGTGCGAGAATAGAGCCCTGCAGCACTCCACAGAAAAGTTTAGCAGGCGGCAAAGAAAAATTACCCAGTCTAATAGAGAAACTTCTATTTGTTAAATATGATTTGAACCAGCTAAGAACAGTTCCCCGTATGCCCACAAAATATTCCAGTCGAGACAGAATAATTTTATGATCAAATTAAATTTAAAATTTAGGAAAGTTGTCTTGACAACTAACTGGTAAGTTTAAGTTGAAATGCTAAAATTACTAAAACTGTTCAATAAAAAGAAAAACACAAAATTAAAACTGATAATATAAAATATAAAAATATAAGCTAATTTAAAATAGAAGTAGTATAGAAGAATATTGCTAAAATAGCACTTATTTAGTAGGGGTGGGAGAAAAAAATCAATGCATCGTGATTCTCTTTCCAACGATTCTGGATTCTGAGCTTAGTTTTTAACCAGATGCGCGATGATGCTGAGTTTGCTTTAGAAACACCCGTATTCTGCTTGCTTCCAATTCCTCACACACATACACCACTCGAACCTTCCGTAAAATAATCTTTCATAAAGTTCGGAAAGGTTGAAATGAATTACAAGGACATTCGCAGGCTTCATTGCACAAGATGCGCTTTGTTTGATGTTACACTTGAAGTGTGTGGTCTCGCCCGTCGGTATTTTCCTTACAAATGCTCTACGAAGTCATCATTTATGTGGTTTGGAATGCAGTGGATTAGGGCTGCACGATTTGGGAAAATTTTCATATTGCGGTTATTGAGGTCAATATTGCGATTGCGATTATAATAAATGGTATCATGAGTCAACTTGATGGGTTTTTAAGGAAAATGCACTCACAGATTAGTGATGATGCTAAAATGTGTATTTGTAAAACTAGAAATGTTTTCAAAATAAATTTGTATAAACTCTTTTGAAAAGGAAACTGGATATAAAATTGTGGTTCACTCAATCAAACTCAAACCACTAAATCTTTTTTCTAAAAAGCTAACTAAAAGCTCTCTCTGATGCAGAGCTTGTTGCTTGTATGCCCAGATATTTCTGTGCTAGTTTGCATAGTCTAGGGAAGTTTACTTTGTGGAACTTCCACCATTTCAGTGGATCTTCTCCATGGTCTACACATGGCATGTAAATGTAAGCATTGAGTTCAGCAGCCACTGCTTCTCTAAACTGTGCCATGGAATCAAATGTGGATGACTGATGCTCTTGGTGCTGTGCATGTGGTTTCCTTGAAGAAACTGGCCAGAGTTTTCTTCTTGGCTTTAGCAGCAGGTGGACTTTCCACATCCATGCTATCATTCTCCATCACTGCAGTGCTTTGGGCTACAGACTGCTGGTGGTGAATTTCCTGAAACAAATAAACAATGCACATGTTTTAGAAATTTGTTACATTTCATTCTTACCAGTTAAGTAAACTCTGTGGTTTCACTCACTATCAACTCAGAGATGGCTCGTTCCTTTAAGGTCTGGGTCTCTTCTTCAGAGATGTATTGTGTTCGGAACCTTGGGTCTAGGAAAGTGGTGAAGTTTAGCAAGTCCTGCATGCCTTCATATTTATTGTTGAGGTAGCTAAGAATTTTAGATTTCAGTGATTTGGTCAGGTCAGTGTCTGCTGTGTTCAGAAGATGCAGAGCAGGTTTCACACAAGATATGCTCACATAACGCTCACCCGATAAGGCATCCATAAAGTCCTGGATTGGGCTTAGTGCCTTGTTTACAGATTCCAAGACCTCCAGGTCCTGCCATGAAGGGAGTAGGTGTCGCACTTTGTGGTCTGTAGAGAGAACCTTGGACAACGAACGCACTTTGCTGCTCTATGTAAGGATATGTAAATGTAAGGATTTTAAAAAGTAGATCAAGAAGTGTTCTGGAATCGGATCGTGACTCCCAGAATCGGAATCAGATCGGACCGTGAGGTGACTAAAGATTCCCACCCCTATTGTTTAGGAGAAAAATGTATGTTTTACACATTTGTATGTTTGTCACTTAAAAGATGGTCAGGGTTTCATGTATGTGTGTTTTGTGTTTTTAGGCACTTCTAGTATTGATACCACCTGTACGATCTGGGGTTTAGAGACAGGACAGGTCCTAGGAAGGGTCAACCTTGTGTCAGGCCATGTCAAAACACAGCTAATTGCTCACGACAAGGAGGTGAGGAAAAACTCACCCTAGTGCTTCAGATTCTTCAGAATTGTGTAGTTAGTAGATTTCTCTGTATAAAAGCGTTTTTCATTGGTTTTCAGGTGTATGACATCGCTTTCAGCCGTGCGGGTGGAGGTCGCGATATGTTTGCGTCTGTGGGAGCAGACGGATCCGTGCGCATGTTTGATCTGCGACACCTGGAGCACAGCACCATCATCTATGAGGACCCTCAGCATCACCCACTGCTGCGCCTGTGCTGGAACAAACAGGACCCCAACTACTTGGCAACTATGGCCATGGATGGCATGGAGGTCTCTCTTTTAGTCCCTCTTACTGTATTAACATATTTGTCTCCATGTTTTCTCATGTGCCTCATTTTTGCTATCCAATGTTTTATCTTTGTCAGGTGGTGATTCTGGACGTGCGTGTGCCGTGCACACCTGTGGCTCGTCTCAATAATCATCGTGCCTGTGTGAACGGCATCGCATGGGCGCCCCACTCCTCCTGTCACATATGTACAGCAGGTTAGAAACCAGCCCGGTTACACGCACACACAACGCAAATGTGTGTGTGTGTGTGTGTATATATATATATATATATATATATAAACACACACATACATATA